AAAGCAATAGGTTAAAGGCTAAATATTCATTGTGGCACAATGTCCTTAAAAGTAATTACTTTTTAAAGTCTAATTTCAATGCAAATATACACTTGAACACAACATATTGTTTTTGTTCTGTGTCTCCTCCTCAGCATTACCTCCTTCAGTATTTATTCACAGGTAGTTATTTAAAGGTAAGAGCAAACAATCCATGGAAATTCATACAATCTTCTCTTTGACCAGACTGCTGTTTCCCAGGTGAGAAAACATTTCATCGCAGCGCTCAGTGCATGGAAAAATCCTTGAGAGATCGTGTCAGATAAAAAAGCTGAGCAGTGCTGTATATAAACACACTGCATCTCCTCCAGTTGCGTATAAGCTCTTTAGGTGCAGCACATAATCATGAAGCACTTCATACTCCTGACCCTGTTTGCTGCAGCTTGTAAGTTCTTGCATGCTTAGTTCATTGGTTGCTTTTAAACAAGAGTAATTATGAGTTCTTAAAATTGTTATAACTCTCTGTTTGTACGGAAGTTGCTGCTCCCATTGATGAGGATGACAAGATTGTTGGAGGCTACGAGTGCAGAAAGAACTCTGTGCCCTACCAGGTCTCTCTGAACGCTGGCTACCACTTCTGTGGAGGCTCCCTGATCTCCAGCACCTGGGTGGTGTCTGCTGCTCACTGCTACAAGTCGTAAGTGTGAACAATTACATACAAAACCCATTTTTAAAAGATTGTAACTACAATAAATGTCTCTCCAAACAAATGACTACACTTATTTTATCCATGTGTCTCTGTCAGCCGCGTCCAGCTGCGTCTTGGGGAGCACAACATTGCTGTCAGCGAGGGCACCGAGCAGTTCATCAACTCTGCTAAGGTCATCCGTCATCCCAGCTACAACAGCCGCAACCTGGACAATGACATCATGCTGATCAAGCTGAGCAAGCCCGCCACTCTGAACAGCTACACCCGCTCTGTGTCCCTGCCCTCCAGCTGTGCCAGAGCTGGCACCCGCTGTCTGATCTCTGGATGGGGCAACACCAGCGGCTCTGGAAGTCTGTGAAACTCTGCAAACACAACAGGAAAGGTTTTAGGTACATGATGATATATGAATGTTTACCTTTATTGGCCTTTTCTTTTCCAGGCAACTACCCTGACCGCCTGATGTGTCTGGATGCCCCCATCCTGAGCGACAGCAGCTGCAGGAGCTCCTACCCTGGGCAGATCACCTCCAACATGTTCTGTGCTGGATTCCTCGAGGGAGGCAAGGACTCCTGCCAGGTACCAGCTAAAGTCATCTTCACTGCTTCTTCAGGTGGACGCACCAAACTTGAGGACACCTCTGCTCACGTCTTGTTCTCTGTCTGTGTCCTGTCAGGGAGACTCTGGTGGCCCCGTGGTGTGCAACGGTCAGCTGCAGGGTGTGGTGTCCTGGGGCTACGGCTGTGCTGAGAGGAACAAGCCTGGAGTCTACACCAAGGTCTGCAACTACAGCTCCTGGATCCGCAACACCATGTCCTCCAACTAAAGTCACTTCATAGTCACCTCTGCTCATCCCTTCAATAAATAAATAAACTCAAACTCATCTGTTTGGATTCTGGAGAGAAAAAAGATATTTTGCTGAAACACACAGCTCCGGTCAATTAAAACAAACCACAAGGAGCCTCCAAGTATTAAATCTGAGTTACTGTACTTCATTTTCATTTGCAATATACTTCTTTCATCAATTGATATAAATAAAGATTTTCTTGACTTAGAAATGTTGCATAATTTTAATACTAGAGATTTCAGGACTGCAGCAGCAGCATCTCATGTGGAGCAAAGGTGTTTCACTTGGTGGTGACACAATATTGCCTACAAATAACACAATCACAAAGTAATACAAAAGTGACCTTTATTGTTTTGAAGACAAACTGTAGATTAAGCTATTTACAACAGATCAGAGTATCCATGTAGGAGATCATTTTTTTATGGTTTCAAAATAATTACGCCTGACATTGAAGCATGAAAAAACCGTAGTGAACAATGGCTGTTTGACAGAACGTGGTGCTGAAGGTGTGGAATGTCTAAAAGAAATTTAGCATCACATGCTTCCAGCCATCACATCACAAATCCACAGCAGCACAAACTCTTTGACAAACATGCGCACGATAAATGCCAACAGACAAATTAAAATGAAATGAATTTGAAAATATATGAATCATTCACTGAATTGCTCATAATTTTGAGTGACTCGATGAGAAAAACTTGATTTTATAGTTACAACTACTTTAAACTCAAGAAAACTCTATAAACAGAGTTTATAAATTCAGTCTTAAATCTGATCAGCTGAGTTGACAGTGAAAATAAAAAAGTTGGCACAAGGATTAAGAGCAACAAGATAATACACAAATTCAAAATGTTTCAGTTATTTGCTTTCTGATATTTTATGTTCAACCATTCACAAATATAACCTGTTGAAATGTATTGTTATTAAGCAGGAGTGCTTCTTTCCAAGAAAAAGCAAACCAAAAGAAAAAACAAAGCGTAGTGGCTTTAGTGTCAAGCTTCCCAATGAACATGAAAATGTAGTTGCATTCTTTTTGACATTAAGGGCCTGATTCAGCGTTGAATTGCGTGTGCATTATGACAGATTGCACTTTGGTTGGTAGGCTTTCTGAGGTTGATCTACTAAAATATTAAGTACGAAATGTAATGCCATGGAATTGGAGGTGTTAGTGTAAGAGGCAAACAAACATGTTATCTTTATTTGGGATCTTAGAAGATCAGACCCTTAATGTAGATGCAGTCACAATGACAGCAATGTTTTACAGGCTTTGTAAATCACATTGCATGCGCTTAATTAAAGTATTTGCATCTACTCCTCCCAATATTTTGCACACTCAGTAATTTCCAGGTATGTAATGTTTTTATTTTTCCCACTGTATGGTCCCTGTCTGAACAAATAGAAAGAGGAATTGTATCTTTGTGTTCATGTTCTTACACCTGGCCTCTAGCATGCTGTAAATAGTGCTGATAAAGGTCTGAAATGGCAGGATAGGCATTACCACACACAGCGCACTGAATGCCATCAGAAGTCCCATCATTTGATTTGCTGGCATTTTGGGTCGTGCATCTTTTCACAGTTCTCAAAGGTGTAATGGGTTTTCCAAGTGAATTTCCATCTTCTCTGTCATGGCTTGTTCCTCTGTCTTGGATTGAGTGTGCGGTGCTGGGGCACAGGGACGTTTTACCAGAAACAACCCCCTGATTTTCGACAAGAGAAATCACGGGCACTGTATGTGACTCTGGAGGAAGTGGATCTGGATGTTTGGAGGTTCTCAGAGGAGAAATGCTTTCTTCAAGTTCATGTACCAATGCAATATGGTTATTAGTGGAAGGGGTAAACGTTTTCTTGTTTCCTTGCGTACTAAGATCATCTGATAAATCGTATACATCAAAAGCAGCGTCCTTGTGCGTGTCTTGCGTTGCTGAGTGGCAGAGCTGGTGACCGAACAGCAAGTCTAGAGTCTTAAAGCTGCACCTGCATTGCTCACATTGATAAGGCAGAAACACTTTCTTAGGCCTGAACTGAACCCACTGGAACTCTTGGTGCTCGCTCATGTGTTTCTTGTAAGGCTCTGCAAACCGAAAACCGCGCCCGCACTGAGGACAAGTGAAGCGACCGTGTCTCTGTCTGTGGATTCTCTGGTGACGCCACAGTTTTCTCCAGTTCTGTAGCGTCTTACCGCAGCAGGTGCAAGTGTAACTCTGACCCGGGGCGTGCGTGAGCATGTGGGCTCGGAGTCTGCCCATGTGTCTGAACTGTCGCCCGCAGCTCGGACACAGATATTTCCTGGGATCGGATCTGTTATCTAGTTTGTTTAACTTGGACACGAGATATGAGAGCTGGTGGGCCGGTACGACTGACTGGAACGGTTTCTTTCGGTTAGCGATGCGTTTCTTGTTGATCATCTGTGGTGGTTTTTTCTGTGTTTCGCAGTTTGCAGCTACGATGGGAGAAGCTGAGTAGTGTGCTGACGAACACCTCAGAGCAGGCACTGTGTACTGTATCAACGACATGTCTTCCTCCTTTATAGCAGAGCTGGAGGCGTTTCTCTCTCTGCACTGGTTGCGATGGGTGTTAAATTCAGACATTACGCCAAACAGCTTGTCACAGAACAAGCAGCGGTAAAGCTTGGCACCAGTGTGGGCTTTCATGTGACTGTTGAACTCCTGCAAGTGGTCAAAAACATTCTTGCAGATGTGGCACGTGTATGTTAGTGAAGGCCTTGTGCGTCGGTTGGGTTCTGAGTTGTTGCCTCCCGTGGGTCTACACGTGTGATTTTTTGCATTGCTGTAATGAGTGAATGATTTTTCACAAAGCGTGCAGTTATAGCGCTTCACAGACCAGTGCGTGAGCTCGTGAACGCGGAGGAAATAAGCCTGACCGAAAGCTTTGCCACATATATCACACTTATAAGGCTTCTCCCCTGTGTGGACACGCACATGTCTTACAAGTGCGGACTGAAAGGGGAACGTTTTACCACAGTACTGACACACTTTCCGTTGTTTCTTTCCCGAGGAAACTGGTGTCTGAGGTGCCAGACTATATTCATTGTCGACCCCTCCACTCTGTTTTGCGGATTTGTCATTCTCGGATTCCTTGGCCAGCTCTTGTGCGTGCATCTCCATATGAGAAGTGTACTCAGAGCAAGAGAATTTGATCTTGCAAAATGGGCATTTTTGATAAATGTTGCTCTTTCTGTGCGTCTTGAGATGCAGATTTAAGTTGGAATTTTTGGTAAAACCTTTGCCACACTCGGGACACTTGAACGGCCTCTCTCCCGTGTGAATCCGTTGATGGATGACGAACTGGGACTGAAATTTAAATACACGACCACAGTAGCCACATTTCATCAGAGTTTTACCTCCTCTTTTAATGTAGATGACATTTGCGTCATCCTCTAACTTGGCCTCCTTATCCACGTCTGCACAGTCTGCTGTGACTTGGGTGTCGGTGCTGCCTTCCAGGCCCTCAACAAGTTGCTCGCTCTTTATCAACACATTACTAACTCTCCTCCTCCTCTTGCCGCCTCTCTTGCGCCTTAAAGTGTTTCTCTGACTGTTCGGACCCTTAGATTTAGGGGTGGTGTTGGCACTGTGTTGTGGAGATTTAGAAGTGTTTGACTCTGACATAAGATTTAAATGATCCAGCTCCGCCTCTATATTCTCAGTTTTCACAGCAGGGCTGCTGCCAGCAAGTTTGGGTGTTTCTTCGGTAGACAATCCAACGTCACTGACGGACAGCTCTGTACTCTGCATGTTTGTGTCTCTTGGAAAGTCAGGTCTGCTTTGTGAGTGAGACTTCTCGCTGTCAGTGATGCCCACTGACTGTTTAATCTTAGGTTCATCACTTAGAGAAAGACTTGCCAGATTTAGACTGTTTAGATGCTTTGAGGGAACAACTTCAGACTCAGCTGCTGCCTGGGAACGCAGTCTCCTTTGTGGTACTGCAACTTCTTTGAGCTCTGTCTGTTGCTCTCCTGTTCTTGACTGCGGGGAGCACTGATGTTCCCGTCTGTCGGCTTCAGTCTCTTGTTTGTCGGTGTTTAGTTCCACCTGCTTATCTGTCTCCACTCTCCCCCCACAGCCTATGTACTTGCTCAACACTGCAGGGACCTCCTGGGAATCCTCCAGTCTGGACACTTTAGCTGGAACCTGCTGATCAGCCAGTTTACTCCTTCTTCTTTTAACAGCTTGTAAATTTGATGCATTACTACTTTCAGGAGGAGACAACTCGGTTTGCTTGTTATCAGAAGCAGTGTGTTCATTCCTCTCTCCTCTACTCCTCAGCCTCCTTGCAGGACCGTTAATGTTGCTGACATGAGCGGAAGCAGCAGGGGTACTGGCATCGGCTGCCTCAGTATGGATGTCTTTAAAAGCTGAGATTTGTGCTCTTTTTGGCCGCCCTCTTCTCTTTGTCAACGCAGGCACACCGTCTTCTACTTTACCATCAGAGACAGTATGAGGAGCAGAATTATTTATTAAAGGATCGTCTACAGTTTGAGGCACATCACCACTGTTGTGGTTTTCTAAACATGCTGGCAAACGTCTGGTGGTGCTGATCTCCTTGTGCTGAACTGCATCAACACCAGCTGTATGTGGATTGTTTCTGTCTGCCGCAGTCAACCGCGATTTTCTTTTACGAGTGCGCCTGCGTTTTTTGCAGACCTCCAAAGTCTGTCTGTGACTGTCTGTTGTTGAGCTGCACACGATCGCAGGAGGCATTGCGTCCATCCCTACCTGTGATGACATGTGCTCACTCTGCTGACTATTAGTTCCGACGCCTGTTTCAGAGTTAACATGGCCGTCAGACTCCAGAGCCCATGATGAGTGGGACTCAGGGGCAGTTTGACTCGGTTCTGTCGCCTTCATTTCCTCTCTCCAACTGGAGTCCAGGTCTTCATCACTGCATCTCTTATCCTCAGGTATCTGTGGAAGAAAAACACACAAATGTAGAAATGGTATTGTTGTTATGTATCTTAGAATATATATATATAAATATAAAAACACACAATATGATCATTCATGCTAATAAAAGGAGTGATACAATTTTAGATCCCAAATTGAGAAAAAAATCCCATCTTTTAAAACTATACATATACTGTGTAATAAAAAATGATGATGCAAATAACTATACGTCCGTCAAAACATAAGCCATCAAACATCAATGAATCTGCATTGAAACGTATGTAAAGCCTTTAAATGCCAGAGGACCTGCACAAACACAAGATCCTTCACGTTTTAAATGCAGAAGATTCATCCTTTAACAGAGAGAGAACTTTTGGGGTGATATGCTTGTTTCTTTTTCGCTCTAGCTACCTGCTTGCAGTCCGAAGGAGCATGAATGGAACTGCGAGGATGAGGTGTCACAGAAGTTAGGTCAGAGACGGTATTTTGGTCACTGCTTCCTCTGCTGAAGGACATTTTACTCCCCATGTCAAACGTCTGTGGATTGAAGTGACAAGAAGGCTGTAACGCAAAAGACAGCGACATGTATTCCTACAGCAAAATGATATCACCTCACACGGTCTGCACTTAACCGCAAATAAATAACAGCCGGAAATATCACAGCTGTGAAAACACTGCTTGCTCTGCCCACTGGTCACGTTAACAGAGAGGTGTGAGGCGGGGAGTTAATTTGCCCGATGACCTATTCAAGCCAATGATTAAAGTACAGGTGTCCACATAGTGAAGCATGATTCCAACCTGAACCAGACAGAGGCCTGATGTAAACAATCACTGGACCAGTTTAGAACTTCTTCCTGGTGCTTTTTGAGACTACAAATTTTTGCAAAAATTAGAGATGATTTCTTAATCTTACATTAATTTCTCTGCTTGTTTACACTTTCTTGCAACCAAATTTTGTTGAGTCCTGCTAAAAAACACAGATCTAGCTTAATATAGCCTCAGAGCTGGAAACCCCCCTTCTTAAGATATGATGACTGTTTATTTTCCCAAGGATTCTTTTCTTTTCTTTTGATCAAGTTTTCATTTTCCTTGCAGATATTTAAGAAAATGAAACATGTTATATAAGAACTTTATAATTTTTTAAAAGCTAGTTCCTAAATATCAAAGCCTGTAATGTTCCTTTGAGTGGTTTATTTTCATTGATAAATATCTGTACAAGGTTTTCTATTTTGATCCTGTTTACCATTGGGATTGGTTACATTTTTTAACGGCTTGGTTTATTCTTCATGTGTACAGACAAAGGATTAATCTTAGTTTTCTGGCTTAACACGTAGATATTTTTTCACGATTTGCAACTTTGCTGAACTAAATTTTGACGTTGGCAGCTACTTGCATTAGAAAACAGTAAAGCAAGTCTGGGCTAATCCCACCTGAAACAGGTCTGGGCAGATAACTGAAAAAAGGGTTTCTGCAGATGTTAGTTGTCTGTGAATCTACTGTACATCAGTTTCTGTTCCAACAGTGAAGGGACACAACTTCTGTCCAGGCCTGATGGACTGCCCTGTGCGTGCTGTAAGATCCTCTGTATTTATGATCCTCAGCAAGGGACACAGTTTGCTGTTGGGATGCAAGTTGCAGGGATTGCAGCACTGTTTGTGAAGAAAGCTATAAAGCTATATTCCTCTGGTGATGCAAGCAAACTGTGGCATATCTGTCAAGTCAGAACATCCAATTCTCCACTTCACTAGTTCCTGGTCAGTTCGCAACTCAGCCAAGCACGAGACAGACTTATGAAGCAATTCAACAAACTGAACCATCACAGGCTGTAACCTGCACATTTCCTGAGCTCAATAAAACCCAAGTTCAATAGATATCACACAGAGACAGAAAACCTTGAAGTCAATACAAAATAAATATCTACAGGTGAAATAAAACCACTGACTATAATATGACAATATTAATTAAATAATGATGGAGAGAAAAATTACAATAAACTCTTACTCTCGTAAATAAAAAGAATCCTTTTTGGAAAATATTCAGTCAAAATATCAGTAAGATCTTTTCATCATCCATCCATTATCTATAGAACTCATCCTTTGAGGGTTGATGGGAGGTTAGAGCCAATCCCAGCTGACATTGAGCAAGGGGCAGACTATACCCTGGAAAGGTCACCAGTGCATCACAGGGTCAACATATAGGGACAAACAACCATTTAAACCTACGGTCAATATAAAGTCTACAATCAACCCAACTCCAATCTGCATGTGTTAGGACTGTGGAAGGATGCCAGAGAACCCGGCGAAAACCCACGCAGACACGGGGAGAACATGCAAACTCCTCACAGAAGACCCGGGGTTTGAACCGGGAAAGCATGATCTGCGAAAAATCAATTAACAAGCAGAAAAATAAATACCTCTCAGATGTGGCAGAACTATATTAAACATTGAATCAACACTTGGGTGCAAGAAAATGAGTGGCAACTAGTTTGAGTAAAATATTTTCGTTTTAAGTAATTCAATTACTGTTAAATAACTTGTGAAAAATAACATTCAATTTAGGGTTTCTTGGACAAATTTAAACCCAATCCAGTAAAATATAAGCAATTGTTGGGAACAAAAATACACACACTCCGAGAATCAGATTAAACTAAGCTCCCAAGTCTTACACTTTCACTGTTAAGAAGTTTATGAAGCAGAGTTAGACCCATAACTTTAATATAAGATTTGACATGATAGACTGAGAGATTGTCTGGTATGAACCGGGAAACTTTTAGTTGTGCATGCACTTAAAAAAGACTTCTGTCCACTACAGATCACACACATTTGAAAGTTCCCTCATTAAGCAGTGCTGAACAATACAAACACAATGCAAAGCTAATCTACACTGGGTTGAAATCATCCTGTCTATTATATCTCCAGTAGCGTAATTCTTCATCTCATTTTCTCCCACACAGGAAAACGTAGCTTTTTGGGTCTGATTGCAAAAACTAACATGAAAACAACAAAGCCACATGATGGACATTTTAAAAACCATTCATCCGACAGCTACAGCATCGGTGCTAATTAAAATCTACCAGCACCATAACATCAGTGTGGCCGCTATCTAACGTGGGGCCTGATGCTAGCGGCGCTTATTTAACACCACAGGCCACACGGAACATCCCGTTAACCACAGAGTCAGCTGCTGTGTGTCTGTACGAACAGTTCAAACATACGTGGGCTCTTCCTGAACCCTGGTGAGCACACGGGCGGAAGTAAACAGAGAGCTTGCCTGTGAGGGAGAGTCAGAGCTGCTGGTCTCTGCGTAGCCATGCACTGACCGCTGCTGCACTGGCTAGCTACTGGCTAGCTCAAGTTAGCGCATGTATGCTGTGTCGGTACGTGGCTGTTTGGTGCTTTCCTTTAAAAGAAACAGACGTGCATGGACCGGGGAGTTGTTCGCGTGAACCCCGATCTCTCTCTTGTTTTCAGGGCGAACGGCGGCGGCGGCTCAGTCGACATCCACACTCGATGCAGAGAGAAGAGAATATCACGCCGAGATCAGCGAGCGTGTTTGAGGGCTGTGGGAAGTTTCCGCTTCGCTGCAGCTGTGATTGAAATGGGGAAAGAACAGCTCCATCCGATTCAAACGAAAGCAAACATTTCAAATTTAAAGTCATGTTTATCCAACTAATTATTTCCCACATGAAAGAGTTAATTGGAAGGGTAACTTATGCACGTTTTCTGAGAAGGACATTGAGGCTTTGGAGTGTGTTTTCTTCCAGTGTGGTCTTCATGTCAGAGTTGGCTTCAGGCTAAATATATTAGGATACCTCCTCTGGATATGATTTCTTTAAATAAACAACCCGATTGTGTTTAGTAAACACTTATTCACAGACATTATAATTAACTATATATATTATAATCGTTTTGTTCCTCCTAATACTGCATCGGCACAAGTTGAAATTTGAATTCATTGATATTTCTTAAAGGTTCATGTTTGTAACCCTTGTTTTCAATAAACCAAAAATAAATGAAAGAGGCAAAATGACACAGAACATCCTTGGTATGCGTTATAATGACTTTAAATGATTTTGTCTATCACTGTTTAAAATGCAATCGTGCAAAGTGGAGTTAGAAAACATCATCCTACTTATCTGCAGTGAAGAAGATTCTACTCAAGTTATGGCGATTACAAGCACTTAAACAAACTTGAACGCCGCATGCACAAATTTCCCAATTAAAGCAGAGGTGGGCGAAGACCGGTCCGAACCCTGTCTCTGATTGGCTAACCCTGTTAACCCTTAACCAATCATCCAGCGAGGCAACTTATACCAACCAATCAGACGCAGGGTAGGGGTGGCCGTTCCTCTTCCACGATGCATAGCGACCTCATCGTTCAGCATCGTGGTTTCTACTGTTAAATGGCCCCCTCTGCTGGACGCACAAATAATAGCACCTAATCATGGCAGATGAGGAGCCACATCATTAGAGTTGATGCATAGTTCTATGTAAATGACTAAAATAAGTTTCAATGTCTAGATCAGTACTTTTTCTATTTGTAGAACAGAATCATATATAACAATATATAGAATATATAATATACATTTGTGAAAAGACAAACAAATCGATTTGCCCCATTTATTGTTCTGCCACCAGATCAGACTCAATATATTTCCAATCATGGCTTCCTTTTAGGATTTCATATAATCTGTTATAACTACCATAATATTTTTTGAGTGTTACATTTACTGTGCTTGTCATGCATCATAAACTGGACTTTTCTGTTGTATTACATATATTATCAGTGTAAGTGTTTGCATAGCTCTTGGGTTAAAGTTACTATACATTCAGTCAAGTTATCATGTGAATAATCTCACAAATAATAAGGCATTTTTGCATTCTCCTAGCCAAACACACACACACACGCTGAATTTAAAAATACAGTTTAATACAACATATATTGTATTCTCGAAGTTTCCCAAAACTGACAAGACCACATAAGGTATCATGGTCAGTTTCCAGTCACACAACACAACACCTGGTCATACAAAAACATAAATTGCAAAGCGCAGTGCCTGGTTATCCCATCAAATAAGGATGAACCATGCACAAACATTTAATAATGAGCAATGTTGATGTACATTTTCAATTTCCATAGAGATACCAACTTCAGACTCTTGTGTCTGTAGTTAATCCTGTTTCTGTACTGAGGAGAGAAATCCAGCTTAAGATGCATGTCTATTGTCACTAAGCATCCTACAATTATAAATCTTTGAAAGTACTTGGGAGTGTTCCTTTGTGATCAACTTAAACCAGTGGATGCTGCTCATCGTAGTGGCTGCAATGTTACTGCACTTGGTCCAAAATTAACATGCAAACTGGGTGTAGCGCTCTAGTTTTGTCAAGTTTTAATAGGAACAGATGAGGTTACTTGGTAAATCATCTCAGCAGGTTTGTTTGGTCCACTTTCAACAATATAACAATCATCATCCATAACCACTCCTGTTTTCTTATTCACAGGAACTGCATCTTGCTCTCTGTCCAGACCAATAGCCACAACTTGGTTTCTCTTCATGTTACCGTCAGTTGGGACCTGGAATCTTCTCTCACCATTCATCTGAATGGGAACTGGGCTTGTCACTGGTGTCACTGTCTTTATTTTGTATTGCTGTCTGCCACCCGGGCCATGCTGTGCCATAAACTCTCGTGCTCTGATACACTTGTGCCTCTGAAGGAGCTGAGCAGATTCAAAAAGAAGATGACAGACTCGACATTTGAATATATTTGATGCAGAGGACATCTGCGTAGGTTTGCTCGATACAGCTGAAGCAATGTTTGTGGGCATCTTCGACTGCATAGAGTTAGGAATCCAGTGACTGTTTTTATTGGATGCACTCAGACTTGGACTCTGACTCTTGGATGGAAGGGAGACAGTGTTGTAAAGTTTGGATGTGCTAGGACTCCAAATCCTTGACTGCAGCGACGGAGTGACATGACGCCCTTGATCGCTTTTGTGGTATTTTCTGATATCCTGGTGTTTTAATTGCAGGTTGGAAGTGACAAAAGGTCTCCGGATGCCTTTATTGGTTACACTGGGATACTGCTTTTTCAGCTGTAAAGAGGTAGAAGCCTGTGGTCCCTGGGCACTCAGTTTCTGACCCTCTGTACTGGCTTTAATTGACATCTTGAATCCCAGCGGTCTCGCAGTAATGAGTCTGAATTTGGTGGCAGTGTTGGGTGAGTTACAGACATGGAAGCGAGGCACCACTTTTTTGCTCGAGAGCAGCAGCCCGCATCCTACACAGCCTGAAACCTTATCTGTGACGTGACAGCTGTGGTGGGATATAAGAGAAGTTTTTGATGAAAAGCACTGCCCACATTTACCACAACCGTATGGCATTATCTTGTTAAACTGACGAGATGTTTTAAGCAAAACAACTGGCTGGTAAAGTGTCCAAAGATCCACGGTTGGTGCACCTGTACCTGCAAAAACATTCTTCACGCCCTCTGCAGAGCTGACAGAATTTTGGGGAAGGGAGGCAGAGGGGTACAACTGAGGCACTTGTGAAATCTGTGCAGACTGCATGGGAACCTGTGGCTTATGAGCTGATTGAATGGGTACCTGCGGCATGGGCTTCACTGCCAATGATTTTGATGGCACACTGTTCAATTTCGGTGCCTCCCAGATAACGTCACCGGTCTGTAATCTTTTCAGCTGCTCCTCCTCTGCTATGAGCTTCTCAATTCTGCGCTTTCTTATCGTTTCGTGGTCAAGGACTTGGTGCCCTGGTTCATGTGTCGTGCTGTGGTCTAACATGTCTGCGTAGCGTGTAAACTCAGTTCCACAGGAGCAGATGTGAGTTGAAGCAGGACACATGTGTTGCTCTAGGGATAACCGTTCGGAAAATATCTGCTCACAGTTGAAGCAAAACCGGCCGGCATCCATCAAATCCCTGCCTAATCCATCCTCCAGGATATTTTGCATTGTTTGCCGCTGTCTCTCCATGACCAGGCTGGGCATGGATGTGTTCACTGGTGATGTGCAGTCCTCTGAAGCTCCCTTCCTGCAAAGACAAGTATACTTAATGCAAACAGAAGAATTTACACCAAATATTAAATTCAGGAACACCCCACGATATTGGTAGCGGACACAATCTGGCGCTGAGGACCAAGTTAACCCAACAGATACAAACAGTTACATGCATGCGAAGCTAAGACCATATTTGTCCCAATCACTTATTGCATCGTTGTGTTAATCCTCGTTATTTGCTCTTTATTGCAATTTTTAAAAGTCCAAACTTCTGAGTGGAGTCCATGAACTCTACCAGGCGCCACACACTGTACAGCTAACGAAATACGCAGCGTGCTTAGTATACGTCAAATAGTTATAATTATTTTCTATACATCCTAAAATTTGTAAAATAAATGAACTCGTCAGGCTATATATTTGTTATTATATTGCTGAGCGCGCGCTTGCCTTGCTAAGCTACAAGCCTACGATGCTAACGTTAGCCTCGACTAGCTCATGGACAATACCAATTGCTTACTTTCACAGGGAAACCAAATTGGAGCCGAATCAATAGTCTGGTGTGTCCCCGCAGCAAACCGCAAACAGCTTGTCCATGGTCGCTTTGTGAGATGTTCCGAATCGGGCCAGAACGCCGGCGTTTAGCTCGAGTAGCGGTAGCTAGCCCATTAGCCACAGCAAAATACTGAAGGCCTGAAAAACGGAAACTCCTAACTCCTCTTCTACGGATGGCGCACTTCTAGTGAAACGTCACGGGCTTGCTGCGCGACACTGACACCTACCGACAGGAGGTGTCAGTTCAACTCGAATATTATTAGGTGCAGTTACATTAAGTGAATTTGAATTTTGTTTGTATCAGTGATGAATGTCACATTATTATTTCTTTTAGGTTTACAGGCTGATTTTAGTTTCTGATCGAAGGCAGTGGGTTTAAACTCGTATAAGAGCAGAGGATGACAAGTCACTTAAAAACATTTTACAAATCTGAGGAAGCTCTATTATGTGTTATAGCCCCTCGCTATGCTTACAGCATACATTGTGCATTACATCAACATACATTGAATGTTGTTATAATGTTCTTGCTTAAGAAAATTATATTGTGATATACAGTATATGGATGTTTTATTGTCCAGCAAGGACACTTCAGTCTTGACTGGGGAAACAACATACCAACTTACTCATGCCTGTTCAGGCTTTCAGCTCAGCAGATGAAGTTTCCTCAGTTGCCCTGGAAACACAGATGTTTTACAGCACCTCCAGGATTCTCTATGTTTAACCTGACAGTTTATTCTTGTCCTTGGAGACAGTCCCACCTCAGTCTGCTGATCAGGTGCTGTGGCCCAAACAGTTTTACATTTTGAATTTTTTTTTAAATTATCTAAGCCTTGGGAGTTCAGTATTAATTGTTAGTGTAAAGGATTAATCATGCAAAATTTGATTTAATTCAAGTAAATGGGTGTCATTACATTTGATTTGAATTGAACTACTTCGAGAAATGTGCAAACAAGTCAGCATTTCAAATTTTCTACTGTAATTTATCTTCTGCACACTGGGATAATGTTTAAGCCCCCCATCATTATATAAATGGTTAGTGTCAGTCAGACCCCAGTACCTAAACAGAGCATTTAGTGTTTTTTCAGTTTTATGGTTGCACACGTTTGTTTCAGGGACACTGGAGAAGAGTGTGATAAGTATTACGCTCTGGTACTGACACACAGTGTCTAAAACATGTTGAATTCAGTTTTAAATATTTTACACATCAATACACTTAATTAAAATCCCCCACAAACTTGTGTGCAAGGTCAAATTGTCCCACTCTTAAGTTTAATGGCCTAAATTTACTTATATCTGAATGACAATGTTCACATGCAAGGGGCAACAATTAAACCCTTTTCCTCAAACTTGCTGTGCAGTGTTATGGTGGAATTCTTACTCACCTCACTTGCTGTGTGGAAATAGCGCAAATATGTGACACAAACATTTCATAATGTAGAATTTTGACACAGCAACTCCCTCAAGACACAGCCACAAATACAGATAACTTAGCAGGAGCCACTATCATTTTGCTCTTGTCATATTTGATGTGCTATATTAAATTTAAATTACACAATAACACACACCTTACGCCTGCCTAAATTCCTGAAATATTCTGAGCCATTTAAAGTGTTCCTGAACCTTACATTTACTCTGTAGAGACTAGTGACACAACGAGATTCCATGATAACCTTTGTCAGTCAGGCTCTCAAATTTTTCACTTACATGTTGCAGCATTACTACAAACAGCAAAGCTATGTGTACTCTAGCCTTTCACCTTTGACCTGTGTCTAGCAGGTTAGAACTCTAAGTAACTGCATTAGTCATGAACTTGGTTTTGTTCATTTTGATTGCTTTATCATAATAAGTCTAAAACTTGACAAGGTGGCAGATACATTTCTATTAAGTTACAAAGCCAGGCTGATGGGAATTTGAATAATTCTAATCAGAAAAATAAAATAGAGTGAGAAAAATGCAGACATGAAGCTTAGATATCGATAAAAAGATTCAAGATCCAAAAGTTACTTTCATATAAAAGCAAGCACCACATGCAATGTATAAAAACATTTTCCTCTGTTGACCCTTTACTTTCTGCCTTAAGGCTTTTGGAGAAGATAAATGATCCCATATGACACAAAAAGATGTAATGTACACAGTTCACATACTGGCATGTTTATTAACACCAGGTACAATCACAAGCTACATCACAACCTCTGTGATAAAATTTTGAATAACAAATGCTCTAACATTTACAGGCTAATGACACTATGTGTTATAGGGATTAACTGAAATTTACAATATATCAAAGCTTTTATTTTTACAGTGGCAAGCTACTATCCCACAAGAGTTGCTTAAAAAAACATCAACATACACAGCTGTAAAATATCTCCTGGAAAGTAAAAACAAGAAAATTCCAATCGGCAAATATGGAGAAAACATATTAGAAGATAATAATACTAAACTAAGAGATGAGCTTTGTTCTTAAAGCACCACTCCCATGTTAGACATTAAATCAATGACATTAAGATGTCAACTGTTCTTGTGTTTGAAGCGTAGTGTCTCCAGCCATGATACGATGAACCCTCCGGCGATGGTTTTTAAGTGATTTAAGGTTTGGGTATGTACCCTGACAAATGTCGCAGCTAAAGGATTCAGACTGTTTGTGAGTGAGCAGGTGCTTCTGCAAACCATCCACTGTACTAAACCAGCGGAGACAAACAGGGCAACGCACAGGCTTTATGGCAGGCTTGCAAGCCCCGCTCCTCTGGTGAAATATAAGACTGATGGTGTTCGGGAAGTCAGAGTTGCAGTGGGAACAGTGATGGGCTTTTGGTGGATTTGTGGGTAGACTTGGCACGCGTGCACCTTTGCAGCGGTTCCATGAAACGTGCCTTCGAAGGGAACAGCGAGTGGCGAAAGTGTTGCCGCATCGTGTGCATCCAATCCTCTGCTTTTTGGGGGGGTTTGGAAGCTGCTTCTGTGGAGGCTGAGGAGGAGGCTGCTGGGGAGGAGGCTGCTGCTGGAATCGAAGTAACAGAGGCTGTGATCTTTGCGGTTGCAATCCCTTCAGCAGCTGATGATGAGGATGCATATGAATCTGCAAATGAACTTCATAGTCTGCCCAAGAATTAACAGTCTCTCCACAAGTTGGACATGTGTAGGATTCCTGGGCATGTTTTTGCAGATGCTCCAGGAGAAGCCTTGGAGATGTAAATCCAACCCCACACTCACATGTCACCCTCCTTGGAAGTACAGAGGGGAGTGACATGAAGCCCCAGTTGCCTCCATCAGTATCCTGTGTTTGACAATCTGTGGCACTGCCTGGCAAACTCTGCTTCTGCTGCAGCACAATTCCTCTGTCCACATCAGGCACTGGTCTTTGCAACTGGCATTTCCTACTGTGTACCATCATGTTGTCTTTGCGGTTAAAGTTCTTCCCACAGACACAACAAGAAAACATCGGTTTTGTACTGTTTGCATTTAGAGGAATGGGACCTTGACTGCCACCCTGGGCTACAGCCCCGAGTCCACGTGGCCTGAACCCACATAGTCGTAGATGGCGCCTCAAAGTAGATGCCCGGCTGTAGGTTTTCTGACATCTGTTGCATGGGTAACGTTTAACACCCTCTCTGACAAAAAAGCGCAGGCTGGCTGGTGTTGCCTCTGCCTGTTTGACTGATACAGATGTGTTTACCTCTCTGTCATCACCAGCTTTTACTGCTGTATTGAGCATCTCCATTTCATCATCCAAGGGCACCGTCCACTGCCCTTTACTACCGTCATCACTGTCAACTGCTGCTGCATCCCAGCTATTTTCTTCTTCTTGCTGGAGTGAAGTCCCACACAGAGAGGTGTCTTTGTGCTGCTCCATCACTGGAGGCTTGGGGGAAAATGGTGAAAAGCGTTTTGCTGGATGAGTCCAGGCAAACTGTGAGACTGCAGTCTGGTTGGAATTAGGAGAAGCCAATTCTACCTTGATACGACCATTAACTTCTGTGCCCACAGCAATACTCTTGAAAACCTGAGATCCAGCTTTATCCTCTGTATCTGTTTTGGGTGTACTGTTTGATCTCAATATTAGCAATTTCTGAGTGGGGGGATTGACTTGCTGAGACACAGCTGACCCCTGACATTTGTGCATTTTAAGGTTCCACCTCCGTGCATAGCTGTGCTTGCACAGAGGACAAAAGAAAACCTTTTTTGTGTTGTTGAGCCTATGGAATGGAACTATTTTTTGAGCAAATGGAAACTTGCTTTTAAAAGAACTTAAGGATTGTATGTTCTTGTTTCCCAACTGAGGGCAAACATGATTGTCAGGTAAAGGTGGCCGCCCAATGATCAGCTGTTTGCAGCGACGACAACACTTAATCCTCTCTTTTTTGTGCAACAAATGATGCTCTGTCAGTCTGTCCAAGTTTTGAAAGACCCTGCGACAGCGGCCACATTGATATATCCCATATGTGCCATTACCCACAGGATCCATCAGTTTTTGCCGTGTTTCTAGAACCACGACAGGTGAGAAAGTCTTAGTCAGAGAGACAACCCTCTTCTTACTGGACTCAAGAATTCTGCTAATGGGTGGAGCTTTTGTCTTCATACCAGGTTTTGCAAGCAGTCGCCTCAACTGTGCAATAGAGAGATCATTGATTGAGGGCACAGTTTTTGCTCCTGGTGTTATATCAACAGGGACAACTTCTTGTTTGGGGGTAACTGTGTGATCATTGTTATTCTGAGACTGACTAGGTGTTAAGCGGTTCATGTACGCTGATGCAAGCAATTTCATTAGGGTGTTATTTTTGGGTAAGCTCTGACCCTTTGTGCTGTCAAGAACAGAGTTTGTGTTGTCTTGGAAATGCACATCCTTAGTCTCTGGTATCTCCTCCTCTGTGGCTGACATGTTGTCAAGTTGTTTCTCACAGTCATCTTGAGGGGGTGTACACTGGGCTTTAGAAGGGGTTACGGTTGCAATGCCATCCCCCAGACTAACATCTGTTTTATGGTCTTGTAATGTGGGCAGTTCGACAGGTGGGGACCTTGAGGTAGAGGGGAAATCAAGGCCCAAACATGGCTGGGTTAGAGTTGAACTGAATGACACACGCTGGTTTGGAAAACCTTGATCGCAATCTGTTCTACTCGGGACACCCATATTGTTATCCAGAAGCTGAATTTGAGAGACATGTGAACGCTTGTGCTCCAACATTAAACTGAAGTCCAGAAACTCCTCTCCACAATCGCAAATATAAAAAGATGGTGAAGGGCTCTCAGGCAAGAGTGGTGTTGGACCAGCCCGCTCACTGGACGAGTCCATGCTTGAGAACAGTGTTTCATGCGGGCTGATGACAGGCTGCTGAGGGGCACCAGAGACCTTGGGCAGTGTATTTGCATGGGTTGCCTGATGCACCAACAAGGAGGCTAGTCCATTGAAGGTGGCTGAACAGGCCACACAACGGTACACTTTGGACGACGAAGTATTTCCCTGCAAGCCAAGCATCATGGGAGCTGAATGTTCAAGGCGATCCTGGGGTTGTGGTCAAGTGAGGCAGTTTCCTGTAAAACACACACACACATACAATGGCATTAGTAAATTAAATAAAACGATCTTCATGTTATTCATAAATATTTATTAAAATAAAATCTCTCTACTTTTTCTAATGACATTCTTGTAGATGCTGAAATATTTTTTCTCATTCATTTCACTGTTAAAGAGAAACACATTTCGAACATGATACGAATGCAAAAGGAAAACAGAAAATTGTTAATTTGTTTTAAATCATAAATAAAATATTTCCCATTCCCACAAAACATTGTTGATTGGATTTCAGCCAGTATGGCCCTGCTTTAATTCCAGGAGCGTTAAATTCACTCCTGTCTCATCCCAGTAACACAAAATTACTCCTATTCCGCCCCACGACAATGCCTAAAAAACCTCTCTTCTCATCCAAATCCAGGAAGAATGAGAATTTAAAATTACATTGAAAACAAGGGGAAGTTCTGATCTAGAAAAAGATCAACCATAAATGTTTTTTACAATTTCAGATTAGAAGCACACACACGTACTGAGTGATCTAATTGCAAGGGAACGGCTTTAAGTACACGTGTGACCACACCCAAAACGCGTTGAATAGGACTCTGAGATTTGATCACTTAGGCCACATAGGGAGGTGGTCTGGCATGTGCATGACCACATTCCTTTGGTTGTGTTAACCCAAATGTAACCTGGGCTACATTTGAGGGACTGCCTACAATACACCCCAAAACATTTTCTAAATACATCAAATTCTTTTCACACTTATTGATGTTCCCCATACACTGATTTATTTAAAGCCAACCCTGCAATAGTAACACTGATCGCCACATGTTGATGTTTCTATTTTTTCCCCACATTAGTCAAATGATTGTTTTCATTGTAATGCTTTTTAATACCAGGTGTGCACTGATGCACTCGGATCTCTCCACTTGTATTGTTTCTTAAAGCCTCTGCTTAACCTCACAGATATTTTTATATAAAATAATTTAGATATTAAACAACACTTAGCCTGGTTACTTGTTATATTGACCACTCCACATGTACCACATAGAAATGTTCACTATCAATCACTGGATGTAGTGATTGGATCCCTCATAAGACGGTTTGTTCTAAGTTTTATCTCTAGTAAAGATGTCAGCCATTTTGGAGCATTATTGGACCCCTCTCTTTACTGTACAGGACACATATGATACAATACTGCAGCTGCTGTTTGGTCAGTTGTATGAAAGTGACCACAGCTCGCACTTTCATCAGTAAACAATAAACACCGTGATTCATTCGCGCTTCACGTTCAAATGAAGACGAGCATCAGTGAGCCACCAAAACACATGGTGGACGTGAACACAGCACAGCAGCGAAGAAAAGGAAGGGACACCACCAGTAGACATTGTGGATCTAAATGTGTTAGCTTGCTAGTGATGAGCTAAACATAGTCATGTTACTTAACTAAACAATAAACACTTCCGCTATGCACACGCAGTACCGTTTTAATAAGCTAATATCGCAAGCTTCACTCCGCTAACACACGTCGGCTAGCCCGGTGTCTGACCCCAGCAAACAAACACCTTACAGGGGAAGCGAGTGAAAGCTAATCAGGAGGAGGGGGTGGCCGACCACGTTCCCGGTGAAGGCCGGAGGAAGGAGGGAGGAATAAGCAACGCTAGCGAGCTAGTTACCGTGACCTGTGAAGCGGCTTGAGCACAATACACAACTGCTGACATCTTCACGGACTCACCAGCTACAGGAGACCGAGCGATATCCTTCACGACGGAGCCACAAGGGCTGAGCGGGAGGAGAAGCAATGGCTCCGCGTACATCTGTCCATGCAGAGGCATCAACTCTCCGGGGAAAAGGCAGTTGATCTCGGCTCCGCGGTGAGCAGACGTCATGCAGCTGTGGCAGGAGAAGAAGCACCGAGAGCTGCAGCGGCTGCAGGCGCGGAGCAACATCTGCGCAGGCGCAGTCAACTCAGGACGTTCTCGCGTTGCCGCGGGGTTTTGCGCTGTAGCTGCGCCACGGTGTGGTGCTGTGGCTGCAGTCGGTAATGCAGGTCACGTGAGGCGCCCTGTCCCACATAAACTTTTTAATTTCTGATTATAAAACAAAGGCAAGATGCTGAAAAAAATACTGCAGTTTTTTGAGCCGTTGGTCCCCTGCTTCAACATACGTATATTATTAAAAGGTTTGTATATTGGGACATGCTTCACACATGGAGAAACATGATGGTGACCTCGGACAGAGAGAAACGCTCTTTTGATTGGCTCAGCAGCTCCATGAAGGCTACATGATTGGCTTGTTGTGTGTGCTGTTGTTTTTGTTGAGTCTGGCTTCAAACTGTAGATCTATGTGATAAGAGTTACCTAAAATGACATAATCCAGCTTTGAGAAAAGAATATTTGCTTAGATTTTTTTGTTTTGTCCATTCCATGTCCCATCCACTAATGTGGAGGAGGCAGTGTTTATGACCTATCCTCCAACCAGTCACCAGGGGTAGATCAACACTTTTGGGGAGCTGTTGTGTTGTCTTCATTTACATACAGTCGATCAACTGCTCCTGTTATTTCTTTGAATCAAGACAAACAAACAAAAAACAAGGGGTGAGATGAAAATTGTGGCTAATGTTTGGTTTTGGTAAGGCCATGTGTCTCCACCAATAATCTGTGATTTACAATATAATTATATTGATTATAATAATATAATATTGGCAACAGGCCTTCCCTCTGACTCACAGCTCTCCATGTGAGTTGAGATTCCAGGGTTTCCCACACAGTTGTGTTGTTTCTGAATTGTGTTTACATTTTCAGAATAGGATGATAAATTCATGTTGTTTAATTTTTTATTTACTCCCACATGTCATACACATCTTGTATGGATCTACAGATGGCGTGATCCATTGGAAGTTTCTTCTTTTGGTACTTCCCTAAAAAGAATGAAGTAACATATCTTTAAACGTAATCTAAAAGGAAAAAAAACATCCTACACATTGAACCAGGGTGACATATTAAGTGTGAACTTACTTGTCTGGTTTCACTCTGCTGTTTAGACTTATCTATGGGGAGCTCTCATGACAGGCATCCGAAGCCAGTCATTGATATTCCTCACATGCAGATGCATTTTTGCAAATAGTACTGGTTCACTGGGTGAGGGGACCTTTCTCCGTTTCCATACAGAATGATGTTCTTCCCACTGATTTGGATGATGACCACGCTGCTCTCAGGTCTGTTTCCTGATATGGCTTTGCACATGAGGATTGTGTTTGTCATTAGCAGGAACTGTTACACTGAACTTTTAAGGTACAGTGTGTAGAATTTTGTGATATCTAGTGTTGCAATTGCATGTTGCAGCTGAACAACCCTCTCCTCATCCTCCCCTTCCAAACATGAAAAAGAAACTGTGGTAGCCTTAAATTGTCACAAAAACTCAAAAGGTGTTTAGTTTTTCCAGTCTGGACTAATGCAAAAATACATGGCGGCCTCCGTAAAGAGGGTCCCCTCTATGTAAATATAAAGTATTTAAATATAAAGGGCCTTTTCTGGGGTAAAGAAAACTACAATTCATACAATTTAGATGAAATGAACTAGTGAAAACATCCTGAGAATTATTCTAGTTTAAATTTCTGCCAATAGTTCCCTTTCACCTAAATCTTACACACTGGACCTTTAAGTCCCAAGCATTCAGGACCTTCTTTGTAAAATTAAATTGTGGGGTAGGTGACTGGGTCTGTTTCACAATACCCTTTTAGCCTGGTAGTACTCTGGTAAAATCAAAAGATACGGTGACCAAGTCAAAGATCCCATGTTAGGGGTATGTGGTACCAGCTAAGATGTACTCCAGAAATAAGGGTCTGCCAGTTCAACAAATCAATCAATTTATTGATTTCATTTGGATTACCTATGTGTATCAATATTAGGTCTGCATCATTTATAAAGACACTTGTTGTTCATAATGAATATTGTTTCTTTCTTGGAGCAGGTGTTTGAGATTCAGCCATTGTGCTTGCAAGACAACAGGTTATAACACACCCTCTGAGCAGCATGACTTCAGGGCAGACTGGTAAAAGCAAACCATGATATTTTGCCAAGTTCAAGGCTCTAGAATACCATTTACTGTTAAACTTGCATTCCCAGCGTGTCTGTAGCAGTAGTATTTACTTAATAAACATGAGTTGTAAAGGATTTTTTTTGTTTTAGGTCCATTTTGTTGAGGAAGGTCAATAATATCCCTGCCCTGCTAATATTCTTGGAAACAGCTAGAGAAGACACAACAATGGTTTGGCAAGGTGAACCAAGTTTAGTTTACATAAATGGTATGTGGTAATTGTGACTTGGTAAGTTTACGTTTTTATGCTGGGGCAGCTCAGATATGTAGATGACAATTCAACTGTGAATTTGTTATATTTATTAATGGCTCATCAGCCTGGTCTCCCTGGTGCATCTGGTATTGACAAATATTGCTTTACTTGAGACAACATCCATCTGGAGAAAAAAATGTAATTCTGCAAGACTTCCCTAACAACAGTTATTACTTTTGTCATACTAATTCAAGTCTGTGATTTAGACCAATGCAACTTCAGTTTGACCAATCATGTCCGCTCTAATTTGGGTTTGTGGAACTTCTTGAATCAACATTTCCTTCGCTGTCATTTTCTGTTGGCCTCCTACATGGAAAAGATTTAAACAACACCCACAAATTGTCTTTCTATTTGTCTTTACTGAATCAATCAACTTAAACATTCAAAAGAAAAGTCACAGCATCATGTTGTGAAAAGGATATTCAATAACTTGTACATATATATATACAAGATAACTATCAATATATAAAAAAGTAAACACAGGGAAACGGTAAACTGAACATTACAAAAGTTTCTGTAGTACATGAACTATCATACCATAGAAAATATCAGCAAATTAAACAACCAGTTTTAAGTCTATTTAACATATTGGCAACAAAACAGACAAAAACTATTTTAAAATAAATGTCAAACATCAGAAATGATCTTATTTGATCAGAAATGGTCTTATTTTATCAGAAATGTCATCATTTATCCAAAAACATATCGCTTCATGCAGCATTGTTAATCACTGAATTTTCAGCTTTACACAACCCTCTTCATTAGATAATCAAACACTGTCAAGAAACTATTCTGACTAACCTATTGTATACAAATCCCAATTCTAGAACTAAAAATATATATACATATATGTACACAATGTCAATCGACTTGGGAGAAAATGCTCCGTCAGTGACATGAGTCAAGAGCTTTCTAAGTATCTAACAAGGGCCAAAAACCAAATTGGATCTAGATTGTGAATGCAAGTGGAGGTATGCAGTCAGATATAAGGCATGAAAGGGATTTGAAGTTGCTTTAGTTATTCAAAGGGACGTTAAGGTAGATGGTATCTAACAATCTTTACTGAGAGGAACCAGCATGAGTCTGTTGGTGTTCCACCAACAGGTGAGGAAAGGCAAAGGCTTTGTCACATTCTGTGCATTCATATACAACTTCACCAATATGACTTTCTTGGTGCTGCTTGAGAAGAGACCACCGACTGAATGACTTGTAACACATGTCACATCGGAACTCTCCAACTTCTTTTACAGCATGCAGTCTCATATGCAAAGACAGATCTTGTGCTGTACTGAATTCGCTCTGACATTGGGAACATTCAAACTGTTTTTGAGCTGCAGCAGATTTCAAATGATGCCTTCGCAAATGCTCTCTTAGGTACCGCCGCACTGTAAAGGTTTTTCCACAGATGTCACATTTGAATGGTTTCTCCTTTAGGTGAATTTTATTTTGATGCTCTAAGAGTCCACTTTTGGAGGGGAACTGCATTGAGCAATGAGGACAATTGAACAGGTCCTCTCCAGTAACATCAACCTCCTCCTCTTCTGCTGCTGGTTGATAAGTTGGAGGGTTTATCTCAGCTGATAGATTTGAGCATTTGGACTCCATCATCCCATGCTGATGCTGGGAACAGTGGTGCTGAAGGAAGGCGTGGCTTCCCAAACACCTCTGGCCACACTCTGTGCATTCAAATTCAGTCGATGGTGTCAGGTGAGTTTGTTCATGTTCTTCAAGCTTGCGTCCAGAGGGAAATTTCATTTTGCAAATTTTGCATTCGAATGTACTATCAAGATGTATAGGGAAATGACCAATCAATTCAATGGCACTGGTATAACATTGATGGCAAACTGGACATATGAAACTGTCTCTATCTTTACCTTCAGCTTTGCGTTTAATTGCTGCAGAGGGATCAACATGGGTTTTAAGATGGCTTAGGAATTGCTGAGAGGAGGAAAAACTACTGTTGCACTGATTACATGGATATTCATTTTTTGACAAAGATAAGTGATGCATGTTCCTGTGCTTTTTCAAGTGAGATGCATGCAGAAAGTATTTATCACAGTCTGAACAAGAGTATGGTCGCTCTTTGGCTGCCATGCAGCCATGCTCTGAGAGCTGCTCTGGGTCTTTGAAGCGTTCATTACAAACACCACAACGATATTTAAGCTCTTTCGTGAATACTGAGGAGCTTTCTGAAAGTGGAGAAGACATTTCATGCTTTGCCCTAGAAACTGTAGTTGGGTGATGGTCTCCTGACTTGGAGTGGCTTTTCCGATGCTCAGCTCTGCTAGTCTTGGAGAGAAACACCCGGTTGCATATATCACATGGGAAGCTCTCCTCTCGATGGGTGGTCATGTGTTCTGCTAACTGAGAGGGTCCTGTGAAACTGAAGTCACACTTGGGACAACGGTATGGACGGCTCTTACCATGAGTATGCTTATGTTTACGCAATGCAAAGAGAGTGACAAATCCTCTACCGCATGCCTGACACTGAAATTCAGATTTGTGCATTCGTTGATGCTGCTGCAGCTGAGATGCCTGGAAAAAGCATCTCCCACATTCTTCACATTCATGTGGCTTTTCTCCCAGGTGACACCGTTGATGATCCTCAAGGCTTTCTGATGTTGGGAATGTCTTGCCACAGACATGGCAAGGAAAGTACGGTGCAGAGTCTGAATCACTGTCCTCACTGCCATTGTTTTCATCCTCATCCCATTCATCAGCTGTACTAATTTGACTGTTGGAGTGTTGTTCAGGTCTGCTCTTTTCACAAGTAGCAAGTTCCTTCTGCTCTTTTTGGTGACATTTCCTATAGTGTCTTGCTAGTGATTTTTTTACTGAATATATCTTTTTACAGAAACGGCATGAGAATACATCAACTGGATGGTCTTCACTGTAATGATTAGACAAAGACAATCTCGTCCAGAACCTTAGATTACAATGTTTGCAAGCATAAGGTCTATTTGAGACATGGCATGTTCTATGGATTTCCAGTTCAGCTGGCGTGGAAAATATCTTGGGGCAGTCAGGACAAGAGTATTTTTGGTTAGTTTCATGAATCATCATGTGTCTTGTAAGATTTCCTGGATTAGAGCACACCCGTCCACATTTAGAACATGAATTACGCCTTTTCTCTTGTTCCTGTCTTCCATGGTCCTCTAGGTGACTAATGAGCAATAAGCCATCTGTGAAGCTCTTATCACACTCTGAACATTGGTACTGCACAGCTTTCTTCTCTTTATTTGAGCTGCTTTGTATCTGATTTCCCTCTGAATCTTGTGAAGATTTTTCGATTAATTCCTCTTTGCAGGAAAAATTGGTTTGCAAAACCCCACTGCCAGTTGCTGCAGAGGCTTCTTTGAAAACTAGAACTGAGTCATCCAGAGCAAAGTCAATCTGAGCTTTCAGAGGGACCTCCATATGTCGGGTCACTTTGCTCTCTGCAATTTGTCCTGATCTACATTTCCTGAAGTGACAACGGAGAAGATTTTTATTCCAGAAACCTTTCTTGCACATTTTACAGCTGAAAGGGTGCTCCACTGAGTGTACACGTAGATGACCAGTTAGTCCAGCTTTATTTACTAAGGACATATTGCACACTGGGCAGACAAATCCGCTATTCACAGCTGAATCCAGTTTACAGGTTGATTTCGCACAATCACTGAGCTTTTGGTCACAAGTCTCATCCAAAGGCTCTTCTTTGATCTTTGGGATATTTGACAGGTGATGTTGTAGGGGTGCTGTTGATGCCGGTGGAACCACTGTTTCCAGCTTGTGTGCATTTAAAAAATGCTCTTGTAGCTGTGAAAATAGCAAAAACCGAGAACTACAGTATGCACAAGAAAAACCTTTTGGTGGGCTTTGCGATGACTGTTTGTTTTGGCAAACTGTTGCTTTTGATGAACTTGGTTTTGGGGTACAGTGTGCTTTGTGGTTTTCAATATTGGCTTTAGAGAAAAAGCCACCACATTTATCACAGAGCAATTTCTTTTGCTTTCCTTTATTGGGGCATTTTGAGAAATGACGCAGCACATAATCCTTTCTTATGAATCTCTCCCCGCAATACTCACAGGCAAAAGGCTTCTCTCCTGTGTGCAGGCGGGTGTGCACGGATAAGTGCCGGCTGTTTTCAAAAGTGCGGGGACAAAAGCTGCATACGTATTTGTACTTTTTGTTAAAACAAGGCTTAATCCTCTGCATTATTCGGTTTCTTAGCACCTGAAGTGGTTCCGTCACATTTTCTGTTGGATTAGTTCCAAGTGGTGGAGCATTTGTTGCAGTAGGGACCTTTTTGCAACACTTCTTCTTCTGATGCTTTTTCAGAGATGTTGCATGAGCAAATGATGAGCCACATGGAGTGCACTTGAATAATTTAGCAACATGGAACATCTGGTTATGTCGGAAAAATTTAGACTGATTTGGGAAACTACTTGAACAGACTTTGCATTCAAAAGTCTCTTGCGTTTCAGAAGGTTCAATGCCAAATCTATTTTGCCAACCCTTGCCGACATCATCCAAACTGATTTTGGGAATACAGACTTCCAGTCGCTGTTTTTTCCCTCTACAACGAGCCTGGTGTACTTTCAGATGATCATACCTGGAAAAACAGCTGTCACAGGCTTTACAGCGATAAGGATTCACTTCATTATGAGTCAAAATGTGACGTCTCAGGTTTCGTGATTTCATGAAAGTCTTGGTGCAAAATTTACACTTGTACTCATTTTCCCCTTCTGCTCTCTTCTGTGCCCCCTGTCTAAGAGTTGGCATGGTTAATGAGTTTGCTCCGGCATTACCTTTGACATTTGACAGTGCCTCTTTGTTAACTCCCTTACAGAAAGCTTCATGGTGCAAACACATTGTCTTACTTCTATATCTATGGCCACAGTGAATGCATCCGTAGGGTTGCACACCGGTATGTGAAACAAGATGTCTAAAGAGAAGTGATCTGAACTGGAACTTCTGTGTGCAGTGAGGGCATTTAAACTGATGCAACTTGGATGCATTCGACTGTAGGAGTCTATTATGGACACTCTGGCTTGTCTGAGAAGTGCCTTTACTGATATCGCTACTAAGAGAGTCAGTGTTGAGCTCTGAAGGCACCCCACAGTTCTTCTGATGTTGATTTATCTTGTATTTGTCATAGTACTCGCCACATCTTGAGCATAGAAAGAGTGTGTTTGTCTTATGGCCTCTGTGATGACATTTCAGTCGTATTTTCCTACAAAATGTCCGTGGACAATATGAACACTTGAATGGTCTCTTTGGATCAGGAGATGCAGTTTGAGAAGGAAAACACCCCTCGCTGTGAAGTTTAAGGTACAAGTCACGGAAAAACTGTTTTCCACAGTTTCTGCAGGAGAGGGGTTTGTCCCCAGTGTGTCGGACCATGTGTCGCAGCAAATTCCGACGACAAGCAAACCTGTGTTTGCAGAATGGACACTGATTTGACGAGGACCCAGATATGTGTGTAAGACAATGTTTTCTAAGTACTTGAGCATCATCGAATGTCTTTTTGCATAAGGAACACTGGAACCCCACTGATGGTTTCTCCTCAAGCTGGGATGCCTTCTTTTCTTTATTTCTATGGGTTTCTAGGTGCCTAAGGAGATATACGGGAAACTCGAACTGTAGGTCACAGTCTGGGCATTGTAGCTTTCCCTTTTTAAGATGTGAGCTCCTATGCTGAATTAGTTCTCCAATAGTTGGAAGGATCTTTTTGCAGACAGTGCATTGTATCCTCCTCTGGTGAACAGCTTTATGGCAAATCAGATGGGTACGTTTCTTGAATCCTTTTCCACATTCCAGACAGCGGAATGGTCTTTCACCTCGGTGATTGTGTTCATGTGTCTTCAGTGACTGTGATGAGCTGAAATATTTTCCACAAAATTTACAGCTCAGGGAAAAAGTGACACTTTCTTCAATTGATTTAAAGTCATCCTCTTTCTCTTCAGTTTTTGAAGTTCGTGGAGTTTCTGGTTTAGACATAGGGGAAGAGAAAATTGAATTCCTGTATTTGAACATTTTGCCAGTTAGTTTAAACAACTCATGTTTCTTCATATGTCTGTATTTCCCAGAAGAATGACGAAATACTGCGGGACAATGATTGCACTTGAAACGTAGAGCATTCTGGAAGGCTTTTGAAGCTGTGGGTGTTTCATTTTCCAGTTCATTTTCCTTCAACAATGTTTTGTCCTTATTTTCATTTGAGCTTGTTTTCTGCTCATTTCCCATTTCCTTTCCTCTTTTTTTCTGTTCGTTTTGGAACAATTTTGTCCTCTCTATTGCGAGTCGGGAAAGACATTCTTTAAGGCAAACTGCCTGCCTAATATGTCTATATCGGTTGGATGGTGAAGTGAAGATGGTGTGGCACAAGGGACATGGATATTTGCCAACTTTCCCCTTGCAATTCAACACAGAGTTTCTAAGACAGTCACGCAAATGTCTAGCCCTGTTATAAGAGTACTTAAAAAGCCGTGGACAAAGAGGACATTTATATTTTGTACTTATCTCATTCTCAGCTTTTTGAGTTTTCTCACCCATGGGTTTTGTGGTACACTGATGTAATGAAACTGCTAAACCCTTTCCCTTGTGCAAATTGCAAAAGTGGTTTTTGGCCTTCTTTGCACTTAAGAATGTTTTACCACATAATCTGCACAGGTTGGTCTTGGCGATATCAACAAGCTTTACATAACAGGTGGGCAGATTTGTATATGGTTTGTTCTCTACCAACTGCTTTTGTGGTAGTGTTTTAGTATTGGGGGTTTTGGCAGATTTTGAAATTCGACGTCTTGCCCGCCTGCATCGACCAATTACTTTCTTGTGTCTCTGCAGGGTACCAGCTTGTGCAAAATATGATCCACATTCATTGCATTTATAAGGTGTTTCACCAGTGTGAGTCCGCATATGGCTGATATACTGAACAAATTTTGAAAATCTGAGTTTGCACTTTATGCACCTGTGCTTGCCACGGCGTTTTCTTTTTTTCTGTAATCTGGAGTCAGAAGAGAGCTGAGGGCATTTGTTAGAGACACCACACAGATGTTTTTCTGCTTGCTCATTACTCATGAAATAGAGATTACAAGTGCTGCAAAATTGAAAATCAGGTACTGAATGACAACCATGATGGTGTTCAAACAGATGATCTATATTGGGGGTTGTGTGCTGGCAATCTCTGCAACGATATGACTTGCTCATTCCATTTACTGACTCCAGGGGCTCCAATATTATGATGGGCTGCAGATGGTTTCTCAGTTGTGTCGAGGATGTTAAATGAACTTTTTGTCCTTCCGGATGGTCCATGTTGTGACTGTCAGGTCTGGCCACTGTTACTGCCTCTTTACTTGTAGCAAGTTTTGTTTCATCCGTGTCAGATGAAGAGTCTTCTCCTGATAGAGGTTCACCATACAGCATGCCAAACATGGAGTCTTTCTCTGTGGACGTTTCAAACTCCTCAATTGACTCTGTAGCATTTTCATCAATTCCTCCTCCTAGACTTTGATCAGGGGACAGATGCTGATCTGCAGAAGAGGTTGCAATCCACTCCATTTTCTCAGTGTCTGAAGCATTTAGTTGTGAATCAGATTCAACATTCTTTGAAACACTCTGCCCATTTGGTTCATGACTAGCATTTTTCAAATCTGACAACTTGCGATCCAGTGTATCTGAAGATTGACAGGTGTTTGACTCAATATCATTCCCATTACAGTCAGGTTGTATATTTTCATCTTGGCGGTCAGTGGAGTTGGAATTTGGGGCGTTCTGCTCATCGGAGAGCTCAATTCCTAATGAGGCAGATGCTTTTGTTTCCACTTTCAGGGTTTCACTGTCTTGCTTATCCTCTTTCATAATTCTATCTTGACTTTCTGTGGAATTAAGATGATCAAATTCCTCATTTTCGTTGTTAAATGATTCTGTCATTTTCTCTTTTGGTACTTCTTCTGCATGGTCTGGCTTATTACATGTAGTCACAATATTTGGAGTAGTTGAAGTGACCTGCTCCTCCTCATTGGCATCTGGATACTCCTTGATTCTTTCACCAGTCATGTTTTCAAGGTCATTTATCAAGATGTCTGGAGGATTTCCTAGTATAGGCTCTCTCTCCATATTGGCCTGTTGTTTCTGATCTTGACCACCATCACTGTCAATCCTATCCTCAGTCTCATTCCCTATATTTGCCACTGTGTGTGAAGAAGAGGAGGATATATTACTGTGTCCTGTGTAGGATTTGACTGTTTCTGGACATTCCACCTTCTCTTCTGAACACTTAGATAGGTTTTCTTCTGCTTTAACATTTGATGGACTCTGAAAATTTGCATTAATCTCTAACATGTCAGTACACAGACTTTTAGTTGGAAGCATATTTCCAGGATCAGTGAATGGCCATTCTGCTAAGTGTTTTTTACCAGCATCAATTGCAGATTTTGGAGCCGAATTACTTGCCATGAATTTACAAGAAGGCCTATTTTCAATGACATCTGCATTCGAGCAGCTACTGACATCTGAGTAGTCTTCAAGTGATGATGTAGCTAGCATTCCACAGTCTTGCTTAAGGTCTTGTAAATGTGTTTCAAGAGATGAAGGAACAATTCCTGATGTTGATAATCCATCTGTGGCAAAGTCTGTGATTTCACTATTACCACAACTTGGCAAATCTTTTTCCATTTGTTCTTCAACAGCTTGCCATTGTGTTTCCTCATAGTATTTTTGATAAGCACAGTCTGAATGAGAATTTTCAATACTGGGATTTGAGTACTCAGTTGTGTTGATGTTTGAGTTGGTGGTAGTGGCTTCATACGAAACCATGGTGTCAGTGAAGTCATGTTCAATGAAGTTCTCCAAATGTTTTTCCTCTGATGTCCTTGGATCAGATGATAGAGTTGGGATGTTATGGAGGTAGGAATCCCACCCATGAGCCATTCTCTGCATGGACCAGAAGATAGGGCTTCTATGATCAAATCCTGAAAACACAGAAAAGCATAGAATTATTTAAAGGAAAAAAAAATACTTTAACAAATATAATTTGGAAATGTAGACTAAAACTGAAAAGACAAATCTGACCTTTTCTTTGATATATAAGGACAGTCCAGGATGATCTGAGTTACAACTGAATGGAAATCTGTAAAAAAAGAGAAATGCATTTTTTCTATTACTATGGACAGATTATAAGATACCAAAACAAAAAACATCTGCCTCTCCAGGCTAGGCTCAAGAAATGCCTTGGAACCACTGGTTGGACTAATAAGTTTCTTTGAGACATGCAGGGAACTCCAGAGATCCTCTGGGCATTCTCCAGAAGGGCTATATTTGTGAAAGCAAATGTCCTAGTCACAGTCTCCAGATTTTCTGCAGATTATTTCCAGCCAGTTCTAAATACCCGTTGTATAACATCTAAAGTAAGTGCGAAGGATCAGATCCAAGAGCAGCAGGAGATCCTCCGCTGGATTCACCGCAAGGGAGTGGGCATGTTGATGAAATTTCTAACGCCGACTAAGATCTTAAGAGAGCTTTTGGCTGTATTTCTACTGTTAAGGGCATTTACTTGGTAACTGTTGCTGCTAAAATAATTTTCCGAAACAACCAGAGTATCATCAGCAATATTTCTATCTGAACAACCACTTTCGTATTTGTGGATTAACATGAGCCAAGGCAATCCCTTCCCATAAGAGGTCATTTAAGGCGACCAGGTGCTTGTAGACAATGTTGCATGCACTGAACTCAAATACAATTTGCTCATTTCCAAGTGAGAGGCTACACTGGACTTTCTCTGCATGGCCTCCTAGTATTAAGTCTGAAAAAATTCAGGAGAAATAACTTTTCCTCTGTGGAAGACATGATAATGAGAATAGCGTTGTGCTAAATCAATCATGTGGCTGGAATAGAATTACTGCCATGTCAGGTTTGGTTAACGCACACAGCACAGAGTGTAGGAGTAGCAGCCAGTGGGAACAGTTAATTAGCATGGTATAACACCAAGTAAAGTAAACCTCAAGGAATATCACTCTTTCCATTTAGGAAGCACAAGTGATTGTGACTCAATTTCACCTGTTTTGGTGCAAATGAAAGGGACAAACAGGTGTAATCAAGAGGCAAAAGCAAGACAACCCCCAAAAAGGGAATAGTTTTGCATGTTATGGCCACAGACAATTGCGCTCTCTTTAACCTCCCTGACTGTTTCTTCTCTAGTTTTGTGTTCTGCTACTTTCATTATTGGTAACATAAGGCAGTGCCTGCAGCCCAATTAGGTTGCATAGGTAGTCAAGCTCCTCCAGGAGGGCACATCCATACGTGCGGTCACAAGAAGGTTTGTTGCATCTCCCAGCACAGTGTCAAGAGAATAGAGGAGATACCAGGAGACCGGCCATTACACAAGGAGAGCTTGAGAGGGCCATGAAGGCCTCAACCCAGCAGCAGGACCTGTACCTGCTCCTTTGTGCAAAGAGGAACAGGAGGCGCAGTGCCAGAGCCCTACAAAATGATTTCCAGCAGACTACTGGTGTGCATGTTTCTGACCAAACTGTCAGAAACAGACTCTGTGAGGCTGTCATGAGGGCTGGACGTCTTCTAGTGGGACCTGTGCTCACAGCCCTGCACCGTGCACCTTAATTGGCAATCGCCAGAAAACACCAGAATTGGCTCTCTTCACAGATGTGAGCAAGATTATGTGGTGAACTATACTGCCTGAAACATCAGCCAGCATGACAGGTTTGGCAGCGAGTCAGTGATGGTCGAGGGATGCATTTCCTTGGACGGTTGCACAGACCTCTGTCATATCCAACAGTACCCTGACTGCTGCTACAAGGTACCAGGATGAAATTCTCAGAGAAATTGTCAGAACCCATTGGTGCAGTGGACCCTTGGTTTCTCTAGGTGCAGGACAATGCCTGACCTCATGTGGCCAGAGTGCATTGGCAGTTCCTAGATGACGAAGCACTGGTGCCATTGACTGGCCCTCACCCTTCCCTGACTTATATCCAATTGAGCATCCATGGGACTTAACATATCTGTGTATCCAACGCCGCCAAGTACCACTACAGACTGTCCAGGAATTCACTAATGCACTGATTCAGGTCTGGGAGGAGATCCCCCCAGGACACCATCTGCCGACTCATCAGGAGCATGCCCAAAGGTTCTTTGTGAGTCATATTATTAGATGCCTTGATGAAATTCACAAGTTGAATCAGCCTGTGATAAAAAAAATTACTTTTTTTGGTGTGGTTTTGAATCCTGCCCTCAGTGGATTGGTGATTGGCAGTGTACATCGATTGATAAGAAAATAATTATTGTGGTAAGATTTCTTTCCATATCGCCCAGCCCTACCTTGTGTCAGGTATAGCTAAATGACTCTAAAAAACAGCAGAGGCTGCACACGCAATGTGCTAACACACAACTGGCACTGGCCAGCAAGGGATTCTGCTCCTCTGCTCCTCTCCAATCACCCACACACACAACCGATGGGATCCTGGGGTCGCTTCTTCTGCAACAAGGAAGTGTAAAGTGTGGTGGGAATTTTCATTTAATCCTCTGGTGAGGAATTCCACAATAGCACTAAATGATTGAACCAAAGCTCAACCGAGATTCAAGGCATTTAATACTAGTCGACAAGCAAAATTACACAGACCAACACAAACAAAGTTACAGGATTATTATTGGGCCAAAAAGGGACATAGTTCTTAAAGCCATAGCAGGCTCAAGAATCTGACAAGTGTCTCTTCTGACAAGCTGGCTTCTACATAAAAAGTGCTGAAGACATAGCTGTCCAAAATCACGCCACTATCAACCCGTGTAACCTGCTGCATGGTAAAAGAGGTGGACATTGATATCTCTTAAATGTACAGACATTTCCATTAAATTTACACTGCATTGATCGTAATCTGGGGGAACTTATTTTCTGTCCGCAGGAGCATGCATGTATGTGTTTGTGTGCCTGCTCGTGTCTGTAGCTATTCACACATCTATTTGGTAAATAATTGATAGTGTTGGCTCATTAATACAGGTCATTCTAGTCACTTGAACCCTGGTGTCATGGGTGTGTACAAAGCATGTGCCAAGCATTGCACAGGTCCCAAGAACCTCTGACCATTCACTGTATCCACCTTCAACATGCAGCGTGAGCACAGGTCAGCAGGGGAGTGAGGAAGGAGGGTAATACAAGGACACTGGACATGCAATGTGTGCCTGCCCGGGTCCCAAAGCTTTTGCTACAAACATCCTGCAGCTTCGGGTCAGTATTTAGAATTACCATGACATTATTAGAATTTTGGCATCGACTTTGTACCGAAGTATCGGTTCTTGTGATATACCTTGTGGGGATAATTATGCATTTCAGAGATTAGTTTTATTGAATGGAATCCATAAGATCCACATACAGGTGACACATTTATAGCCTTAAAAATTAGTGGATATAAAATAATTCCACCCATTAGGCATAAGGTGTCAACTGAATGAGAATGAAAATGGTGTGAATAATAAGCTATTTATGTTTTGGCCTTCACAGTCACCAGATCTCAAACTCAACACTCATACTGTGCTGTCATCACTGTGTTCCAGAGAATTAAAGGAGTAATGCTGAGGACCACTGGTGTGGCTCTGGCGGCTCATGGTGGTCTAACATCTTACTAAGACCCCTTATGTTGGTTTGTGTTTGTCACCCATCAGTATGTAATTTCATATCAGACACCCATTTCCTTTAACCCAAAAAGGAGAAGACAGTTATCTCTCTACAGGAAGACCACCTGCTAGTTTTATTGACAGGTCTAGACAATGGCTGAAAAGAATGTGAATAGAGGGTAGAAATTGTGAGTCCCCCTTTCAAATCTCTGATTAAACTGCCATTTATTGCTCTCTCAGCCAAATAGTTGGTTATGGATGACCTATGGCACAGCTGATTGTGCATCTACAAAATGAAAGCTTTGAATTCAGTTTGTAAATTCATTGTAAAAAACATTACAACTGTCTGTCGAGGGACCCGGAGTAGAGGCTGCAGGGTCTGCAGGCGTCGGCCTCCACCAATGAGGGACCTAGAGCAGGGGCTGCAAGCATCAGCCTCTCTGACCAAGGAGGGACCCAGAGCAGGGTCTGCAGGTGTTAGCCCCTCCACCAACAAAGGACCCGGAGCAGGGTCTGCAGGCATCGGCCTCACCGCTGACGAGGGAACCAGGCGTGGAGACCGTAGCATGCGTCGACGTCACAGCCGACATTCCCTGAATCTGCACCTTCCATCAGCCTGCAAACAGGTCCATGCTCGCCGCCTCCTTCATAACTTAGTGTCTCTCTGAGGCAGCTCTGCTTTGTACTTTGTATTAATCAGCTAACAACTCTTACCTGTGCACCAGCACTTTAGCTGAGGGAAATGGCTCCTGGCAGAGTTTTCTCATACAACCGCCACATCTCTACTTCAAAATGGGGATCAAGAGCATAATATATGCCCAGCATCTAGTCGAACAAGCCCAAACTAAAATGGCTAAGCAAAACCCCTAAAGCCTAGTTTATGCTTCTGCATCGCGTCTATGCCGTACCTATGCCGTACCTACGCCGTCGACGCGGACCCCTACGCCGTAGCCTGACGCGCGCCTCCMAAAAATCCTAACTACGCGTCGYGTCGACGCGGACCGCAAGCGCTGTGATTGGTCCGCTCAGAACGTAAGTTCCGGCAGTTGCTTTTCCGGTCTTTCTTCCTCGTCGTAAAAACCACCTCCGCAAACGTTTTCTGTGTAGCTTGCGCTTCAACATTTGCAATATAAGCATTTGTTCTTCAATATTGATGAGCTCCAACAACAAATACAGCTGCTCCACCTCRGTCGCCATTGTTTACTGTTGTTTACTTTACRGAAGAAAAAGCGAGGATTCGGCTATAACCACACAAACACACAGCTACACCCCCTAGCGCCAGCGGTGAATTGCAGAGCAACACGTTCCCTCGACGCAGAACTTCGAATGCTCAACGATTGCGTCACGTCGACGGCGTAGGTACGGCGTCGACGTGATGCAGAAGCATAAACTAGGCTTAAGGGGGTCTGTGAGGAGGGAGGAGGGAGGAGGAAGAGAGAGCAGCTTAGTAATGAGATTTTAGTGCTGCCTTCAGGTACTGTTGGAAAATCAAAACACTACAGAGTACAACCAAGCTAAAGCTTCTCGTGTACACAGCTTGACTATTTACTAAAGCGCAGTGGGCTGTGGACATTTTTTTTAATAAACATATTTCAAATTAATTACACCTGTATAATTAAAAATAATATTCGGTGTTGTGTTTAATGGCAGCAATGTCTGTTCACAGCTTCCTTTTGTCCTGCATTCTAAATTCACTCTTATCTATAACAGCGTTGCAGCCAAATCATCATTAACACCATGTTTTTAGACTAAATGTCTGTTATGGTAAGTAGCGACGCAACTGGAACTATCAATGCTATCACGCGGACACGCTAGAGCTTGTGTGCAGTGTGTGTGTATGTGAACGCGGCTCAACAATTAAAATTTCTCCAGTGTGCAACAGGCATTAGTTAAGTAGGAACCAGGAACAGGTAAAGCAATCCTTGTCAGACTCTTGCCAGATAGGGGGATGTGAATATAAAAATATGTTTTTGCACAAAGGAATGTGAATGTTTCCTCAACCTTGGTTCAATCTATATTTTTGCATGCAGATAATCTTTTGGCAGACTAAGAAAGATGTTATCCTATAAAAAGCAAGATAGGGAGACAAATCAAATGCTACATAGTGAAATATATCATAATGAGGCTGTTGGAGCAACAGATTTGCTTCTGGCAAATGGTGATATGCAGGCCTTATAGACAGTGAATTGCCATGGCCCTGAAAATTTGGATGACCGTAGCACTGGAATCGAACTCTGGACACAAACTTGAAAAAACACTCCCAAAAGTAATTATAATTTCTGGTCATGCACTTTACTCTTAGTAATGCTTTGTTCATAATCTCTTTTGACAGTCAAAAAGACTGAATATGTGGTGGAGTTTAAACTAACCAAAGAGAACATTGTGTCCCTTATTCCTCTTGACTCTCTACATTAGTTTCAGCTCAAGGCTGTAAAGGCTGTATTAGCTTCTCTTGGCAACTGAGTGGTCTTTAGCAAATGAGACAACACCTCAGTGTGCAAGGTGAGTACTGGTTGCCATGGTGGCAGTGCAGTGTATTTCCTCCCTCTGGTTGTAGCATGCCATTTATACCTAGTGACTTTTGTGGATTGACAGGTACTGCACTGCCAGGGTTCTCTGCTTCAGGTCAGCAGGGCGGATACTCAAGAGCAAACACAACAAAAGACAGACAAATCATGTCAACCAACAGAGTATACAATACATAGGATGCTCTTAATACTCAATGCTTCATTTGAGTTTGACAATTTATAGGCACAAGGACAGGGGAGCAATAAAAGCTTACATGGTTTTCGAGAAAATAGGATCCCTCTCTTCCTGCAGTTTAATTTTCCTAAGCACAACTGGCAGTACACTGAATCTAAGTCGTAGTTACAGTATATGTATGGCCTTGGCATTTTCGCTACATTGTCATGTTGACAGAGTCCATAAAAATTGTTCTGGTCTTGGTCTGCTTGGAAGCATGTCTTGTCGCAGTGGCTGGACAAGCCAAGCAAATTCACCCTACTTCTCCCTACACACCAACCCCTCCCAAATTGTCTCTCCTTCTTGTGTGGCAATAATTTCTTCAAGAGCAAGTGTTATTCAACATATGTTAGCTCCAAAATTCCAACTTAATGAGCTATGTGTCAGAAGCTATTTTTAAAAGTACTAAACTCGACATACTCCACAAATCCACACAGCCAATCACAGTCTTTTAGCGATACAGAGCTACAGTTACTAGGGTTGACTCTCTGTATGAAAAAAACTGGGGTTTTCCTGCAAAGAGACAGCCGCCTTCATCAAATTTTGTGGTGCCTCTGCCCCCAACAAAATTATAGTACATTAAAAACTGCTTATTAAGATCATGTTTTTCCTGGGACAAATGCATAAATATAAGCCATTGATTACTATCAAAGAATTGTGTTGCTTTAATATGACGTTCCCGGAACTGTAACAGCACCACACACACTGGCTGCGCTGAGCTAAGGTATCTGACATGCTGGCGCAACAATAAACAATCACATTATAATCAATCATTTTCTTCAATTAGTCAAATCTTCATTCAGAGCTGAGCATTCATTCATTAAACCAGCTTGTCTCTTGCACCGACACTCACACACACACATAAACTTAGACAACGTATGGAGAGCCGGAGGCAAAGGTTGGGCGCACTCAGTTTAGCTCGATTCGGTTGCTAGAGCACAGAGCGAATGATAGAGACAAAGAGAGGAGCGGTAAATTTACTGACAGCCGGTAAAAACTATAAAAATATCTTTATACATATACAAACATGTATATGTGAAAAGACCCAAATAAATAAACTGCAAGTGGACATAGGAAATGTGCATGGCTCCCTGAGTGTCTGCCTTGGTGGCGCTGTGGCCAGACTTTGTTCACTCCGACGGTTCCTGAGTGCATACCCTGGCACAGTGCATGGCTCCCTGGGTGTCTGCACCATTGACTGTGTGTGCTGATCAGAAATGAGCTTGGCTTGATCAAGCTCCAGGGGTAAGTCACACGGCCTTGCTATCTTTTTCACTCTCACTCACTTATACATACTCTCTCATCCAAATGCGCTTCACTGGTAACGAAATTCGGCAAAGATTGATTTTAAGTGGTGGTTGGGAGGACAATATGTTGTAAACCCATTAAATCAGCACATTAACTAAAGTTTTTTTGTTCAACAGAATGGACTCAAAAAGACCTACCATGTGTGAAAATATTTATTTGTGGATTAACAATTATGATTCTGCTAGGGTACAAATTGTACAATACCTAGGCTAGACTAGTAAGGAGCAGAGCTGCACATTGGTGTGTGGGTGTGCGTGTGTGTTGGGGGGGGGTCAGAAGTTTACACAGCTACCCTTTTGTAAGAAGCAGGGGTGCAACATACAACTTGTGTGTATACTTAGTACAAGTTGTAATAAATACCATTAAGTATTAAACTGTGAGCAAACATGAAAACCACATAAACAGTTTGCATCACAGCTAATTACTTATGGTATTTTATATTTTGCAACTAATCTCCAACTTTAATTGTTTTGTATAAATGTTCTAAGAAAGCTGAAAAGTGTTTTCTTTAAATTAACAAACTTGGTGGCTACTTGATCAAAAATAACATTTCATTGAATCCATTAACGATGAGCCATACGTTCTCTTCTACCTTGCAGATTTGACACTGTCAGGGGATATTAGTTAAAATATACTGTCATTACTATTAGTTTGCTGTGGTGTTGGAGTGGACTGTATTATGTGTATCTAACATGAGAGGGTAAGTATGTCAGACAAACAAAACAAGGCACTAAATAACCCCCACTTTCACAAAAAATACCTAAACATAGCTGAGATAAGATATTAAGATTCGAGCATGGTAAAGTCAGATTATGTGGCAGAGCTGTACCTAATAACGTGACCACAGAAGACATGTTTGACAGTGGCTCTGGATATGATTATTTATCATCAACAGGATTAACAGCCTCTTCTCTGGCAAACTGGATTTTGTTTTCAAGATTCATTTGGACAGAGATGAGTGTACTGCACGATGTTAAGTGCACTGGACAATGATGTGTCGCTCATGTCCTGTCTGTGTTATTGTGTGATGCTGCACTTGAAGCCAGCCTGGACTGAGGACAGCACACAGAAAGAAAACACTCAACAAACACTCAAACAGCCCCAGTAGCACTGCGGTCTGTGACTCCAGCCACGTGTTAGATCATCTTACACCATTGGTTCGTGCTCAGAGCGCAGCAAGCTAGCTATCTTAGTGGCTAGCACAATGCTAGCTAGCATGGAAAACAAGCCGGTAATGGCTTCTCAGAAGCTGGTCTTGGAGAGAGGACCTTACCAGATCGGTGCTCCGTGAGGCTCCTTGGTGCTTCGCCGCCGGGTTTCCTTCGTGGCTCCACTGCTACATTGTCCGAGTTGATCACAACCACTTAGCAGAGTTCCCCCAAAGACATCACGTCTCGGTTTTCTTTACCAGTCCTCGGAGAAAGCGGTTGTCCTCCTTGTCGATGGGTTCCGTCTTCTCCGGTAAACGCTCGCAGAACGCCCCCCCCCCTTTCTTTCCCTTTTCTGTACCGTGAGTGCAGGGTGGTTTGTCTCCAAAAGCCGCGTGACTTCCCGCAAAGTGTAGGCTACATATAGTCCGTTAAGCTCTGGACAGCGGCGATGGCAACAGATCCGCCTCCATTATCTTCATTTGCGCATTTTCACACAATGTGCCCGGAATTGCACGTATGTTACACAACTGCCTGATTGAGACCAATAACAAGGTGCAGAGAGCCAGGGAGAGCCCGCCCCTCCGTCTTCTGTGCTCGTCACTGCCAGAGCCTGACGCGGAGGAGGAGTGCATCCGGTCGACTGCGCCGCGGTTCACTCACTGCTGGTGCAGCTGCCCCGGTGCTGCCTGCAGATTTACCTCTGCAGGCAGTGGTTGAGCTGATCCATGAAGTCCTCAGTGGGGCTTCAGTGCTCCAATGTGCAGATTCAGTACCCCACTGTGGATGTTGCATTAGTATCAGCTGAGTTATTGGGGCACTTAGTCAGACATGATCGGTCCTTAAAGGGTTAACAAGTGCCACACAACCATTTTGTGTGCTAGACCTGCCTCAAAATGGCGCCACCCCCTTGTCTTCTGCTTCAAATCCCCCTTGGCTGAGGGGGATGGACCATTTACCAGAGGGTGGAAACATAGTTGCAGAGGAGGGGGGGAACCAAAACCTCCTCTTTTTTGGCATGAACAGGATCTTCAGAATATGTTTGATATTTTGAGTCCAGACAATAACTTCACTTGCTGTAACCATTGAATTCATGCAGCCATCTGGATCACTCTGCTGTTACCTCATAAAGCACAAAAACACAAAGTAACCAATCTTTGGTCACTCAGTTTTTATAAGTGTGAACTATAAAATTTAGCAAATTGATGTGACAGCTTTCTCACCATACAAACCCCCAAACTTTAAAAAGTTACATAACAGCATCCTTTGTGGGATTTGATGCAGTGAACAATTCTCTCACTTGGTATCATTATTATGGGGGTTTGCCCCCTAAATGCATCTTTAAGACATGAGGTTTTACATATGTAGCCACGGCACCATTGTCAAAACCAAGCCCTGACATTAAGATCCATTTCACAATCAGTCAATTGGAACCTGCACTTGCCTGCAATCCCCATTGATAGCAATATCACACTTTCCTCACTCTATAGCTCAAGCTCTTTGAAAGCATGCTCATGGGTCAAAGATTGAATGTTCCAACACCCAGATTGGCTGTAACATACTGAGATGGGATATGAAAAATAACACATTTTTCCCTATTTTAAAATATTAACCAACCCCAGCCGCTACGATGCACTGCTGACCCTGTTCTACCTGAAAATTCAGCAACAGGCAATTCAATAACCTGAACTGTGGCTGCTCTGAGCACTTCCTGGATGTCATCAGTACTTGTACTTTAAAGAAATGGCCTAAACAAGACCCAAAGCAAACTAGTTTGAAGAGAAACAAAAGTGCTTAAAACATCATAGAATGGGTCATGCATGGAGATGTAATTGATCAAATGGAAGATCAGAGCAGGGTAGTAGGCAGAGTAAGTTGTCTACTTATAGGAAGGTGGGTGGTTTGATCCCCGGCTCCTCCAGCCATACCTGACCTTGAGCTGTACCGCCAATGTGTGAATGTTGTGTGATCAAGTGCAGCATATGGTAGATTATTGTATGTATTATAGCGCTGTATGAATGCATGGTTGTGTAAGTGTGGATTGTAATGTAAAACCCTTTGAGTGGTTGATTAGACTAGAAAAAAACATTTACCATTTTGTTTTAGATTGCAACTTTTCTTGATGAACTCCCAAGCGTTTTGGCCCCAAGTCCAGAACTTCAAAAAAACATGATTGTTTAATATGTTGCCCTTGAACACAGTCAAGGTGGTTTGGAAGTCATTGACCAGCTGCTGGTTTTGGGTCAGCGATTAGCTGCCATACAATTTAGTGGGGTGTAGGAAGAGCAAGTTCCCTGGGAACAGCATTAGTGTATGAGGCCACTTTCGCATTGTGGACATATTTGGTATTGCCACATAATGTGCACTGACTTAAAATGACTTAGCCCCATGTGCAATAGGGGGAGAGGGGTAGGAGTGTGCATGCTCCATGGCCCCAGAAACCTCTTCAGCCTATGTGCCTGGTGAGAAACTTTCATAAGAATGAATAAGGGAGCACTATTCACAGATTTTTATAATACACCCATGGGCAAGAGTTGAAACATGACCCCCCAAAATATTTTAATACCCACTGAGAGTATTATTATCTTGACATATTCTATGTACTCTTATCCAGTTATTTCAGCCTAGTACTTTTTGATAGTGAATATTGCATCCAAGAAGAGTATTTGACCCTACCCATCAGATGATCCATCAATTAGTCATGGCGGGCACCAACCTTTTTTCTTTTCTTTCAATATTTTGCCCTTTGCTTTTGTAAAGCTTAGTTAACATGGCATCTAAAATAAAGCCATAATGAATAATAGGATGGACCTTTTGGAGATGCACACAGAACAGTTGCCCACCACAGCAGAACTGCAGGTTCAATTCCCAGAAGTGCTTTGCTAAGTTGGTGAGCAATAGGATCCCCTATTTTGGGTGCTCCAAAATATAATTGAATGGAATCTCTTGTGTAACTTTAGCAGAATGGTTCTGAATCTGCACATGGGAGCACTGAACACTTAGGAAGATCAGTTCAGCCACTACTGTGTGAGGTAGAGGTGCCTGTCTGCTACAGTATGTAGGCAGTGCTAGAGTAGCCGCAACAGCAATGAGAAAACTGCAGCGAGTTCGTCCGGAAGGACTTGTACAGTCAGGGGCTGGCAGAGGCAGCCAAAGAACATAGAGGGGTGGGCTCTCCTGGACTTTCCACACCTTGTGATTGGTCATTTCCGGCACATTGTCTGAAAATGCACATAATTAAGATAATGGGGGTAGATCTGAAGCTATCGCTGCTGTTTACATGCTTACTATAGTTAGGCGTCAACCCTACACTGTACACAAGAGTGGATGACACAAGAGCTCCCAAACAGTAAGGTCAAAGCATCTTGTTTGCCCCTGATGGCTAGCAGAAAAATAGGTAATATACTCCACCTCCACCATGTTAGTGAATAGTAAATGGGGCATGGGCCAATCTAAAAAGACAAAGGGTACTTTATTGACATTTTTCCAAGAATAATTAGTAGTTATTATCACACTGATGTATGTTAAAGTGCAATTTTTTTATGTAAATTTAATTTTAGTCAGTTAATTGATGCTATTAAAACAGGTTGAAATGTCATCACTGACAGCTAAGACAGACTCGTGATTGGACCAACGCATGTATCAGTGAGACCTCAACACTGTGGTTCCATTCTTCCATTCGCTGTTGCAGACAAACAACGTTATTGGGGTAAGACGGCAGCCTTGGTAAGTGGGATATTTTATTCAAATTTTCAAGATAGTTAAGTTATAACTGGAGACACGTCATCTTTCTAAATATTCAGTCTGAGTCAACCAGTGAGAATGTGCCATATTGCTGACCTGACCTTCTTACCCACAGCATACTGAGCCACTAACCTGTTACTTTCTGCTAAATTAATTTTGATCTGGGCCTTTGAACAAGCCCTTTGTTAGCCTTGTTCAGTCTCAACAATGGTCATTCTTACATAGGTTAGCCTCTTCTTGATGACAAGATTTGTGTGTGACATTTACGTTCTACTTCATGAATATGCACCCACCAATGTTACCAAAATCTCCTTGCCATCTTTATCCGAGAACTGATGCAAACCACTTGCATGCCCTCTTGACCAATCAGTAATGCAAGTGTTATGTTCTTTTGCTATGAAAATTAAAAACCTGAGCAAGCAGATCCGTCCTGAGTGGACAATCATGACACCAGATCATCTGAGAAGGGGATGTGGGTTCTGTAGATGATAACAATCAAAGGTGAGGCTGTTTGTCTTTGTACATGTATCGCTTATAACAAATCTGTGGGCTCTGATTTCACTGTTGTGTCTGATGTTACCATGCTTGTCTGTGTGTTTGTGCTAGAGAAGAGTCAGGAGGGCCAGAAAAAACATTTGATTCATTATGAATCTGTAGTCTGAGAACACCATCTATAAATAGGTGGTCCTTCATATGTGGTCGAGGACTCATTAGTATTCACACAATGCGTGGCCATATTCATCCCACATTGTCTTCAAGTGGGGTCGAGTGATTGGATCTCGGCACATGGTCCAAGTCCCCCTTTTCTTATTACTGTAGTTTGTCAACTTGGAAACTATTTATTTGGCCAAACTGCCATTGCCATGAATTTTGGTATAGGTTACCAAGGGGAGTTTTCCAATGATGCTGTCAAACAGGTCCAAATTTACCCAAGATGACGCAGACTTTGGCAGACAATGGAAAAGAAATCCGAAACTTGTCTCTGGTTTTATCTCTGATGAAATACCCAAGGATCTTCTGCTCTTGCACAGAGGAATCTTTTTTTGAAAACCCACTTGGTGGGGCCTGCAAACTCAATGTTGAATCAATCACAGAAATGGTGAACTGCGTCACAAAAATCTTAAGAACTTTGTCCACCAACCTAAAACTGAGTACCTAATATAACTGTCTACATCTATGAACCCATATTGATGACAGTGACAACATAAGCAAAACAAGAGTGAATGTTTGCCTATGCTGGGGATAGTAGTTGGTAAGTAAAAAAGGAATGGAGTTGGATGCAGAACTTGAAATGCTTACTAGAAACAGCTGATTAAATAGACAGCTGTTAATGTTATCAATGGCACCTTTTAATTCGCTGAAGGATTCCTCTCCATGCTGTTGCCTTTACCATGCTATACCAAGTTAAACCACTAGCTACACCAATTCCTTAAAATTGTGAAATAGAACACCTTAACACAATTATGTAGTTAAAGGGGCTTCCCTTACCCTGTTAAATAGCAACACTGAAAGCCCAGTCATTTCTCTGTTCAATTTTAATGGCACTGTTAATAATCTACTCAGTGAAAATGCAATTCTTTAAAAAGGAAGATACAAATATACGATATATTAAAGAGAATCTCAAACAATATGTAAACAATATACAAAAAATGCAGCAATACGATTGACAATAACAACATGGTTATCTACTTAAAAAAATACAATAAAAACAATGTACTAGCTAAAGAACAATTGGTGGGACGTATCTATTAATTATCTACAATCATTGTCTGTGGATGATCACAATGTTTAAAGTTGCTTTTTTATCCATGTCAGACATGTTGTAGATCATATTTTTTCAATTTGGATTCATTCAAGTTATTTGGTTTGCTCCATACCCAAGCCTTCCTCCATTGGTTTCAAATTTACCAATGAACAGAAATTTTCTTCTCATGCCAGAAAAAGTGTATAAAAGTAGTTCAATAAAATAACCATTACAAGGTTTCCCATATCTTCTTTTTTTTTTTTTAACCTTATACCATTATTGGTATAGGGTACCAATGCTCCTGAGCACCTGACTGTTGGAAATTACAATGACGGATGGGTCTGACGTGATAGTTACCCACTGTTTTCTGAGCCATGGGAG